TCTTTCCCTGGGGAAGCTACTTAAGCTACCCAGAGAAGAAGCTGAAGAGTGAAGACAGCCAGAAAACCACAGCAAAGATCCTGGAGCTTGCAACCCACGGAGGGAAAGAAATTGCAGAGAGGAGCAGGAAGAGAGAAGGATTCCAAAGGACCACAGGGAGCAGATAAACTTATCAGCAATTAAGCCACTGAAGTGGCAGGAAGGAAATACCCATCCACGGGAACACAGGTCAAGACTGTTTTTCCTGTTTCATGTTTTTTCCAGTGGCTTTCAGTTGTAGTTAAAAGATTTAAGTTTCTAGTTTTTACTGAAAAGAAGAAATTTTAAGGTATCTTTTCCCATTAGGCCAGGAATCAGTTCCCAGATATAAATAACTGCTTGTCCAACTCAGGACACTGACAGTGTGTTAGCTGATTTTGACTGGCGCCTAAGAGATCCTCCCATTGCTGCTACAACTGTAAGAGGAAAAATATTCCACTTAGACATAAAAAGGGTCTTTTTTTCCAGTATGACTAATGTCTAACACAGGAAGACTGAACAACTCAAGTGATAACCCTAGTGTACTTCCTCCATATGTATGGTTTCAAGTAAGACTCTGCTTTTACTGAGGAAGAATAACTTCTTGCACAGCTTGTAACTGTCAAGTTTAAAATGACAAAAATAAAAATATCTACTGGGGTCACTAATAAAAGCCTGCAACTTTGCAGAAAACTGAAATAAAAGAATTTCTTCTGTCAGACCATAAATACCTGATAGTCTGGTAAGAAATAAATATGAAAGCAATCAAATTACTTACTCCAGTCCTTTTTTGAGGCTTCCAGTGAAAATATTTTCTGCATGATGAAATTCTTTTTCCTACTTTCCCCCCGCCTCTCCCCCACTTTCTTTTCTTCTCTTAGGTATATGCTACCATATTTTCACACACAACAAAATCACATTAACATACCTTTCACCAATTTACCATCACTGATAGTTTTAGGAGGAACATCCTTTTTAGTTCCTGGAACTCCCTTAGCACTGGGCTCAGATGCATCTTCAGGTGCATGTTCATCTGCAAATTGAGTCTCACTTGGTGCATCACCGGCGGTATCAGCTGGAACATCTTCAGATGAAGATACTCCCTTTTCAAAAGAAACATGCAAGCTTACTAACGGGGTAGTGCATGAAGAATTAATGCAGTGTCTGTGGACCTGCAATTTTGCCAGTCATTTCAAGAATCACATTATCAGCTAATCGCATAACAGCTAATTTTACATCAATAAGCACTCATGACCAAAAGTCTGCTTCTTACAAATAATGCACTGCTTCATGTATATCCACAGGCTGCAAGAACTACAGACCTACAGTAAGAATGTGTTGTTATTTTACAGCAAGGAAAACGTTCTTCAGCTGGTACACTTTTGCCAACAGCTGTTTTAAAAATTGTTTTTAAAATCAGACACTAAAAGCATATACATCTTTTCCAAAGTATATTCTTTTAGGTCTTGATCTCCAGGGTCCAGGACAAAATCCATTAAAGTTAATTCACAGTGACAGAATGAAAGCTTATGACATTTTTCCCTAGTGTACAATTGCATGATACCTTCTTTACAGAATCAAGTTTTACAGGGATCAACCCAGGTTAACATGTTTGATTTTTTTAACCATTTTGCTCAAGTCCATTGTGCTTATCAATGTTTTTTGTGGCACTGAATTGGTACAGTACAGATGTGCTGAGATTTTGAAGCGAATAAAGGATTGCTGGTTCTACTAGTATGTGACTGAATCATTGAAGACTACTTCTGAAGTCACAGCATAAAAATTTTAGGACAAATACTGTGGAACATATTTACATGGCGAGTCAGGCAATGACAAATGACATTAAGTAATTCAACATTTAAATGAGCCTCTCATTAAACAGTTTGGTTGCTTTTTGCTGGCTGCCGTTAAGTAAACTTGATGTTGAAATACCAGGTACTGAAGACAATCCCTGCAGCCACTCCCTGACCAGCAGAACTAATTTCTGAAAATTCTTGAAGGGGAAAACTACAAGGAAATCAAGGACTTCCTCCTGTATTCACTGAAGCCCATATTACAATTTCTTATTAACTTTAATGGCCAAAAGGAGAACAATCAATTGCATTAGTTGCGTGTATGTACATTACTAAAGCATAAAGATAATATTGAAATCGTTATTCTAAAAAAAATTAAAGGGAATGCCATTATCTACCAAACCATGCAGTAGGAAAATATGCATTGCTACATATGACCTCAAGGGATTTAAGCCAGTTTCTGCTTACTCCTTAGCTGTACTCATTCAAACACTTAGAATGAACCCTTTGTTATTACACTTTGGTTAGAGTACAGTTTCCCCCCAAAATAAATGTTAACAAGTCCTTATTAATTATGTAAGTATTACGAAAATTCAACTCACTGGTTTGCAAGTAAAAAATTCTAGAATAACAGCACTGTGGTACAGGACAACTCTGCAACTAAGTCAGATCATACACTTAGAACAGCTTATCTTTATAACAGTGTTTTTTTCACTATTAAAACAAAATATTAGACACAAGCGTTTCAAACAGCAACTAGTATTGAATTTCTTCATTTTCCACAAAGCGATTTTGAGGAGTTTACCCACAGGCCTACCTTCTTCAGTTTAAGGCTCCCCAATCTAAGCCTTGAGGTGACAAATGACATAGGGCCTAAAAAAAAAATAGCTCTTTCCCATGAAAAGTTAACATCAGATAATGTATTTTTGATACTATTTGCAATTTTCTTTTCAGCAAGAGAACAATTTAATGAGATTAGCTAACATGAGAATGGTTGAAAACAAGGATGCCAAGTCTGGATATCATCCTCTACTAACACGGACTAGAAGAAGCAAAACAAGTAGGAAACTGACGTGAAATTTTGAAGCTCCAGTATTGTTTCAGTCAATCATGATAGGACTCTTCTTTAAGAAAACGTTGCACAGAAAAAAAACATATAAGAAAAGTAGTCTAGCTACTGTGCTACTGTTCTACAAAGAACCATGAGACATGCAAGAAGGTATGGTTGTTAAAAAACTATACATAACTCTTCTGACAACAGAACACTAATCCCAATCTAACAAAGCTCTAAACCTCCACAAAGAATATATTCCCTTGTATAGAAGGCCAAAAGATTTTCAGGCTGTCATTTTATATTACAGCCACGCTGAGTGGCTTATACTAAAAAGCAAAAACTAAATATCACACCACCTCACATATCCTTATTTAAATGCTACACAAAACTAAAAAGCAACAAAGACGACAAAAAAAAAAAAAAAGCATTCACATACTTTGCTGAACTATTTCTCCATAATTCAGTGTTCCATTTTTAAAATGTCTCACAGTAACACAACCGAGAGGCGAGTCCTTGTCTCACACTGCATTTTTAATAAATGTATATACAAACACACATACCTGACAGTTGTCACTGCTCTCTTTTTGAAGGAAGAACTGTTTTTTAAATTCATAATAAGCATTATACTGGTGCCATGGTTGCAGGAACTCAAATCTGTTAAAAGAAAACTGAGTATGTGAAAATGCACATGAACATAGTAAATACCAACCATCCTTTGCCATCTGATTTTCTCTTGCAAGTGGAACATTATTTGATGCATGGAAGTACTGTAACTCTGCCTGTAACTATGCCAGAGGATATGCATTCAGAACATGCTCTTTAGAGATGTTTTCGTTAGGTTGGTTTTGAGGATTCGAGCAATAATACTTTGGCATTACCTTTAAGTAGGTCCCTGAATTTCAATTAAAAAAGAAAAATACTACTTCTCTTCATGTCCTAGTAGTATATTTAAAAATTAAACCCTCAACTTTTAAGACAGAAGTTAAAATAATGTTATCTCTTACCTGAGATCATTCTTGGCACGAACACTGGTCTCAAATTTTATCCCATTCCTAGCAACATACTCAGCTAGCTTATCAATAACAGGTTGGATATCTGGAGGTGGAGGTATAATGGCAACCACTGGAGCAATTGTGCTGAAAACATCAAGAGTACATCATTTTTATAAATAGAATGTATCTTTCAGATTCTTCCTTTAACAACAAAAAACCCACAACCCATTACATAGAGGTTTGTTCCCTCATTTCATTATGCAGTTAAAATAACTTGATTTTCCATCATGCAAAAAAATGTCATAGTAGGTGAGTAACAATAATCATATACAATATCAAAGACTAAAGTGGAGATAATCAGAGCTGAATGAACATTGGCAAATGATACTGAGGAATCACCAGCAATAGAATCCTTACTGAACACTTCATATTGAAGTGCAGGAAAGAAACCCCTCCAACTAAGCAGCAAATCAGTAACTTGTACCTTGTAGATGTTGTGGTAGAAGTCAATGCACTGCTGCTATCAGTTGTGTCTGGGGGAGGTGGAGGAGTAGTACCAGGGGGTGGAGGTACAGTTGCTACCCCTGTAGTGCTTGATACAGTCACTCCTGCAGGCAATGCATTGTAGTAGGTAGCAACATCTATTCCTGGAGGTGGAGGCGCAAGGCAATAGGTTCCATCAGGTAGCATATAGTAACTATAATACATGGCTGCCACAGTTGCTGTGAAAAGACACATTAAAGAATCATGTTCTAATTAGAAGACACCCAATTAAAATAAATAAAAGAATCTAGATTCACACAACACCCTAAGAAATGGTATCTAATTTCTTGTGTAAAAAAAAACCCAAACCAAACAAATAAAACCCCCATAATTAACACAATTAGGATGAATAAGAAATATGTAGATTAAGGAGCAGAATCAGAATGTACTGAAGGTCAGCTGGAAGGCAAAAAGATATTAAGTGAACCAGAGAAGGCATATTAAAAACTGACCTAATACGAAATCATTCTTCCTAAGCTAATTGCTCTCTGGCAGTTTAACTCAGAACTATGTATGCACTAAGAAAGAAATGTGAATATATTCAAAACATTGAGAAATGAAACCACTAGTATTACTGTATACAAATATATATTAAACCCCTATATCATTATAAATAGACATACACCTACTTACTGAAACCTCAAAAAGACAGGTTTTGCAATTTAACACTAATACAACGAACAACAGATTTGAGCAAATTTTCCACTTGAGAGGCTTCTCCAACTCTAAATATTTATTAATTGAGAGTGCAAAGGCTTATGGCTTGCTTTCTTTAAGGACAATATTTTACAATGCTTTAATTAGTTTAACACTTAAATGGCAGTTCTTGTAAATCTAAAGGTTTTCTGCAGAAAGTCATATAAACAGAAAGCATTCTCATAAAATATTTCAAAGGATTTACAGTAAGAGTTTATGTTTCTGGAGAGAAAGTTTAATCAACGCATTAAATTAAAATGAATTATCCTCCAGTAAGTTTCATAAACGTTCCTGTGTGGCAGTATTTACTTTCTTTAAAAGAATAAGTTATCTGTAAGGAGAACAGAATAAAGATCTGTTAAGTTCTAAAGACAGGGAGAGGAGCTGCAAACTTAGCTTGTACTGCTACTAAATTATTATGTCCCGGTTTGCATCACAGACATTCAGATTCAAGGCTAACATGAAAGTAATCAGAAAACTGACGAGCATTATACTGCAGAGTTATTCTGATTTTAGTCTTTTCTGAAATAACCAGTAATTTCCAATTTGTCTACAGAAATCTCGTTTCAGTTTTATTAAGACTCTCTTAAGGTACAGTTTTAAATAAAAATTACTTCCATGCATATTCCTCTCCATATTACACATTGACAACACCTGTAATCCTTTGGGGGGTTCTGAACATATAGTGCATCAAAATCAACTCAGATAATTATGCTGATACTTACTTGGAACAACTTTACTAAAAAAAACCCAAGAATTCCACCATCACCACTAACCTGAAGTAATACTGCTCAACTACAAATTTATAGTATCATGAAACCCCACTGCAGTGAAGACTGTAATATGAATTTTCTTATATCTCAGTAATGTCAAATAGTAAGTCCCACAAACGAAAGCTTAAGTTTCATTTCTATATTTAAAGAATCAAGGACTTTCACAAATCTGAAACCTAAGAATCAGAGGCACCTAAACCCAATTCAGTTTGACATCACTTTGCTGAGTATCAGAATTTACAAAACTTACAGGAGCTTTATACAAAGTCTGCATTAAGCAGCTTCAAAGATAATAGAAATCAGACACATCCAGAGAAGTTAAGTTAATGTTGCTAAAAATTTCAGAGCAAAGCTGATTCTTAAGAGGGATTATAGACAGGACAGTATTTACACTTATGTGAAATGGTTCAAGAAAAATCTAAGATAAAAGATTTCATAATAATTTGGAGATAGGAGAAAGTCTTGGTATTTCATTACCAGGCATGGAAAAAGCAGTTGAGCATACAACTTTCCACATTGCTCACTTACGATATATTATTGCTTTTGTTACTCTTTTGAGAAAAAAAATAGAATATCTACTTCTTTATTAAAGAATGCCCTCTGTAGCTATAGAACTTCAAAGTTAGTACTTCCTTCTCAGGACTTAGATATTGCTATGAGAAATAAAACCTAAAAGATCAATTTTTTACTTTGAATTCTGCATGTTCCTGAATTTTATTTTCTACATATGTATTTTCTGTGCACCAGTGCATAGAATGAAAGGTAAACAATGAAAAATTCCAGGAAGTGACTGTATAATAAAACTTATTTATTTACTATAAAACAATTTCCATCTTTAGAGCAGAATAGCACACTAAAACCTGGTTTTAACACTTCTGTCAGATCCTTCAATTTACGTGATTTTATCTTTGCAGATTTTCCCTAGTGTTAGCCACTCCAGCAAAACTGTTCTAAGTACATTTACCATCTGCATCTTGCTTAATATAATAAGCTTCTTTCTACAGAAATCTCATTAAATACTTTACAGAACAGTTTTATATTCAACAGTGAAGGCATTCATTAGCCTTCATTAATAGAAATTGATGGAAGTTATCAAAAAACGTTAAGGGTATTGTGTTACCCATACTCACAGACTGGAGACCTGGCCCCTGCCTGCCCACCCCTCTCCACCCCATTTGATTTTCTTAAGCAGCTAACAATTTGACAGGCACCCAGAGGAAGAACACACCTTCAAAGATACAGGAGATTGAAAAAGAATAAATATCAGTTACAAATGATCAAGTATGGAGCTAACGTACTTTCTTCCCACCCGTATCCACATAAAATTCATCAAGACACATCAGCAGCTGCCTAATCACAATGCACTTACAATCAGAAGAATACTCTGCTTGTGATGTCTGTACAGCTGCCCCATCTGTTGACTGTGGTGTAGAGGAGTTATTATCTGATTGCGCTTTGCGCACCAGGGCAGCAAGTGGATGATCAGGGTCTACCACCTTCAAAGGCTGAAAAAAAAAAAAATAATATTTGAGAATAGAAAACGAGATTAAAATTTGAAAGATATATTTAAAACCTGAGAGGATCAAGCTAATTTGGAAAGTACATCCATTGAAATTAACAGACATCAATAGTATTGTCCAAACACTGAAGCTACTGGTTTTGTAGCTCTCGCATCAGAACCATCTTCTTCTTTGAAAATTAGTGGAAAACATGACAAAACAAAAAAATACTTTAATGTGAACAGAAATCCATGACATAAAAAAGCAGGTATTACTCTTACTCATTTACTGCCAAGGCTGGGATAAGACACAGAACCTGACTTGTCTAAATACCAGACAGCATCACTGCCATTCCTCTGAAAGCCTCAAATGTGTGCAACTGTCTGTCATTCCCATTATTCCATCACTGATCAAACTCAGAAAACATCCAGCAAAATCTACACTTAATGAGTAGTACATTCTGCTGAAATATTATTCCCTGAAACTGTGACTTCATGTCAACATTTCATCTGCTAAAAAGAAAACACTCTCAGCTTATATACAGAAGGCATTAAATATCTTAATCTTTTCAGCTTCAATACAGGTTCTGTGGGATAAACCCTTGAGTGATGCCCTCAATACCAGAGGACATCAAAAATAGAAATATAATTCCTTACAAATGGAAAAATAATGGTTTACACGCCAGAGAAAAGGTAACTTGAAAGTTTACCAAAAAGAGACTTAAATTATTAACACACAGTTAGAGGATGGGGGTGGTATGGAAAAGAAAAAAAAAATTGATAAGAAAAGATCTTAGCACTTCCATATCAGAATTTTTGTGCCTATGAATTAGATGTTTTATGAGGTAGAAAGTAATTTTAATAGGATTGAGTACCTTCATGAGCTCTTCAAGCCTACTGCATTTTTTAGACGCAAAGAGACTTGGATGCAGGTAATTTCCATCATCATCATCGTCGTCATCATCTTCTTCCTCGGATTTGACTCTTGAGTCTAAATAAAAGCAATGTCCAAATTTTATGGGGGTGTGCTTTTGGGAGAGATTTGTATTGGGAAAGAAAGATGGTACAGGACAAGCATGCTACCATTTTCATAAATCTGCTTATTCACCAGAACATATATACAAGATGATACTGCTGGCCATCATTAAAACTAACACCTAAATGCATAGAACAACTTTCCGTTGGACTAGAGCTACTTAAGCAAAATGTTGAATCATGACATCAATCTCAACTGCAGCATAGCAGCATTGCCGCTGCAACGCACCAAAAATACGTGGCTATTTTACCAAAACAGAGCAGTGAATGTTTCAGTGATTCATGTTCATTTGACAAGCAACAACTTACTTTTCTTCTCGTCCGCTTTACTTTCAGAAGGAGCAGCATATCGTCCCTCTTTCATCGCCTTCTGAATGAATTTGTAGTAGGGATTGAGGTAGTGATCAAATCGCAAGAAGTCAAACTGGGAGTTGCGTGCTTGCTTGGCTTTTAGCATAATCTCAAACTGTGCTCCCTGCTTGCAGACAAAGTTTGCAGTGCGTTCTATAATGGCATGCATCTTTGCTGTTGGTGGCTGTGGGAGCAAAATAACATGTATTTGTATTTTCATAAGCAGCTTGTCAAGTGGGAATTAGAAACAGCAGTGGTTCCCTACCCCTCTTCCCAGCTTTCTCTAGCAACTCAGTTTCATAATCAATTTCAACTAGTGAAAGCACACCAGTGCTAAAAAAAAAAAAAAACAACAAACAGTCCCAGTCTTCCCTAGCTGCTCATTCATTTCCTTTCACTAAATTCTCTCCTTCTACCAGCACAACTATTTTTGCTACTGCATACCAACTGAAGGAACAAATCCTGGCTGAGTTTGATGTAGCAGGAATTTCTTTTAAGTCAGGTACGTTCCATAGCCATACAGCCAATTCTGCTGGCAAAAGATACTAGACAGAGGTGTTTCTTGACACAGCTGTGCCAACTTAAAAGTGGCCCTACCTGACAATACCTCCAGGTACTCTGAAGACTCAACACGCACAGTCTTCTTCCCAACCGCTGTCCTTTATTCTGTTACTACTTTGTGTGCAAATATAGTCCCCTAACTAGAAAAGCTCATTACTGTGCACTTGCTTAGAAGGAACGTGTTGCACCCTAAACCCAGCATAAGAATTGCAGTTCCTATGTACCATCATATTCCCATAAAGAGTCACTGAACACTTTAGCAATAAATCAAAGAAGAAAATTAATGAAGTTAGGCAGCACCCATGCATTTCCACTCCTAAAATCCCATCTAAGGAGCACTGCCATATCAAACAAGTGAACAGAACAAGAATATAGTTAAAGAATGAATGAACTTCATCATTCAGTGTGTTTAATTTCATACTCAGCTTTGTTTTGTCTTGTGCTCAATGAACTGTAGAAACACATACTCTGCCTGCCTATAAAGATTGAAATGTCACATTAAAATCATTTTAGTTTTGCATTTTTATTGGTTTAGATACAGAAGTATGTTGCAAACCTCAGAAAATCTTTTTCAGAAGATTGGAAGCACGCAAGTGCTGCTCTACTTATGGGGGAAAAAAGCCTGAATGTGTTCAAACAGCACATTTTTAGGAGTTATTTTCAGTCAATTGGATCCTTTACTAGAACATGTTCAATATGGAAAATAATCAGGTTTTTCAATGTTTAGTTGTCCTTCTAAAACACTACCAAACATTATTTTATTAGAGGCAATGAAATCCTCAACAAACTGATAACATTTTGTGCATTGCCAGTTTCACTATTTAATTGTACATCAAGTTTCTGTATTTCTGCAGTTCTTACGCAGAAATACAAAATACAGTTAAGGCTGAAAGACTCATAAACAAAGCTGCAAATCAGCAAAGAAAGGAGCTCAAAAAAGATTGTATCTGAAATTACTATCTGGTCTTGAATTTGAAACCAATGCCACTATAAGCTCTGGAAATCAGGCACTATGAATAATAACATGCTTTTAATTGACTTCTAAGATTTCTAACACCACATTTAAAGTGAGAACTGTTAAAACTTCTGAAAGACTATTTGCCAGAGCAGAGAAAGAAGCCTTCTGAAAAATACCGTAAGTGCTATCGTCGAGTATAATATTCTGTTCCAATCTTCAAATAGTATGGTAATTAAAAGCTTTTCATTAGTGAGTCTCCCTAACTGACAGTTAAGCAAGTACCCTCCAATCTTCAGTAAGCCATTCACCCTCTGGTTGGTCCACAAATTCTATCTTATTCCCAAGCACTGCAGTTTCCTCCCCAAAATGCTTCAAAGTTTACAAGTGTCATCCAACTGCCATGACCATCGACAAGGGCCACGTCTTTCAACTTGAATGTTAATTGGCAGTAAACCGAGGAGAGACCTGGCCACCGCTCTGCCATTTCCACAGCTAATCAATGTGTCTGTGCACCTCTTCCAATCACTTTTGGATAGACATAATGGCAATGGAATTTATGATGCTTTCCTCTCTCTTCTTTTTTTTAAATGGCAACAAAGTCAAGCAAAAAATATTTCTGAACATGCCTGTAAAACCTCAACAACAATTTACCACATTTCTATCTGTCAGAGCAACTGAATTAAAAAGACACAGAATAAATACATTCAATGGTAAAACTGAATGACTCGACTAGACCAACAAATCAAGGCTTACAAAAAAAAAAAAAAAATTCCTACAATTCCCAATCCAAGTATATATTGTTTGAGCTGCTGCCTCGACACTTTGGTTTGGTTTTTCTTTAAAATCAAAACCAAGTATGTCCACATACCCCTTCTGTTCATTTGAATACACTAGATTTTAAGAGCTGACTGAGAAATTATTACAGTAAGCCCCACACTGCATTCTGCAACTTACATATAAAATATATCTGAAGTTACAGAATAAAATTCAAGCAAAGCAGCTATCTAAAACACCAAACATTCTTTTACTGGCAGTTACATTTTGGAAACAGCATGCAAATGCTAAATAAGCAGCATCTCACTGAGAACTCAACATTCTTATTCTAAGACTAAAGTATAACTCATAGTTTAAAGGCAATAACATAAAAATCTTCCCTGAACTCAGAAGTAGGCTTTTAAGTACTTCACTAATGAAATATAAGATTGTAAAGAAAAGGAGAGGAAGTAAAATCAGAACAGATAAAGTTGTGCATTAGATATGTTAAACAGCTCTTACTTGAAACAAAAAAAAGTAACAGGATAAAAATTTTCAATTAAAAGCTAATGAAGTAGAAAAACACTCCTACACAAATAGTCTTTGTTCACTATTAGTTATTCTAATAGAGTGCTTTGGATTTTTACTGGCCCAGGTTATCAAGTTAAGAAGACAGCCCAAATATAAATTAACACTTTCATGACCACAGAACAGGAAAAAGAATGTTATCTGACTTCCCAGTATCTTTCATGAAATTTGAAATAAATTGAAAATCCTCATGGTTACAACTGTATTTAAGCAGGTGACTGATCAACTCCCTTCAGGAAAATTCACAAGCTCAAATGAAGTTTAAACTTTAACATGTGGCAAATTCTGCTAACATCACATAAAGGAAAAAGCTTCCATATGCTAACACTTTCACGCTATTTCAGAATTTTCTAGAAGTAAATTACTGCTTTTCTCCTTAACAGGCCAATCTTAAACACAGCATTTATATTTGAGCACTTCCTATTCCCATTAGATTGGGACTCAATTAAACAAAATCCAGAAAAAAAATCTTGAACAGAAGCAATATTGTTACATTTGAATGTCAACCCTGACATCTCAGTAAGCATCCATTCCAACTGCCTTTTTTTCTGCATTATCCAAAATGATATCAAAGTGATAGTAAGTGCACTTGGCAGAAGCAATGCAATTAATTTCAGTGTGAAAGAGATTTGAGAGAGTTGAGATAAGTCAGAAACTCAAGAAAGAATATTTGAAATGAAGCTACTATTTTAGAATAATTTAAAATGTACCACACTAAAATTAAGGGGGGGGGGGCTGTTAAAAAAAAAAAAACAACAACAGTAAAGCACCACAAACTCCTTGAAAATTGACAGAAATGTAGGCTGCATTAAATGTACACACATACCAATTCCACATCAGAAGGTACGTTCAGTCCCGGGGGAGCAACAAAAGGCTCTTCATTTTCTTCTGTGTTTTCTGTCTGAGCTGTTTCTACAAGAAATGGCAGAATACAATACTATAGGACAAAGAAATACAATACTATAGGACAAAGAATGTCAAAGTACTCACATGTTAACAAAAAACTGTTAAAGTATAATCAGAAAAGATGTGCAATCAATGAATTTATCAAATTAAGCTATAGCCAGCATTTGCACTGAAGACATTTAAATACAGTTACTCTCCCTGGTGTTACGTGTGGTTTATTTAAGATTGCATAAATTGTGTTTCAATAGAGGTATTAGAAAGAATAAAACCCTATTAGCCTTTGCCCTGACTATAGTATTGCAGACAAACAAGTGTCAAATCAATTAGGAAACTTTAATTTTCATCAATATTACTTTTTGGTTTTACAAGCAAACCCATGTAAACTTAAGGGGAACTATTTTCAATGCACCGGTTGGATCCTTTCCCAAGAACGATTAAAATATTACAGAGAGCCAATATTTCTAAAGCTGTTAAGATCCATACATATGGTCTGTCTGAATTCAGTTTCATGTTTATCAACCATTTCAGCCCATGCAAACAAAGCTAAAGTACTTTCATCAGCTTCCTAATCCTAACCAAAGTTGTATAGGAACACAATAGGGAGGCTAAAATCCACTTTCACCACCTACAGAGATAAACCAGTAGTTGCCTTATTAATTGATTAAAATAAGTGTTGCCATTCATCTATGAGTTCAGTCTAAAGTTGGTATGGTGCATTTTATATCAAGTTTAACATACCCAAATATTTAAAACATTTTTCACATGAACTATTCATCTAAAATAGCTACTCTTTTATAAAGGCCAATTTGTATTACATTCTGTTCATCGGTATATCAGAAACATTCCTCTGAAAGGATTTCACTTCACAAATTTTTATTATAATTGAAATGGAAAGTTTACTTTTTAAGTATCTTTTGTATTATCTATTCTACCAGCTTTAAGCGGAATGTATTCCAGTCTTATCAGAACAAATCAGATAGATAGCACAAACTGTATGAAAACCTGATTATGGGAACTGTGGACATAGCAAAACAGCCTAATCACCCATGAGATGTCACAATTACTGCATACAGGGTCTTACTCATGCAAGAAAGAGAGTTAACTACTTTGTTGCTGTCTGGCAGCTTGTTGGGGGCAGGGTTATTTTTTAAATGAACTCAAATAGTTTAACTCCATAAAGGCAAACAGAGATTTTAGCACCAAGGAAAAGAGGAATAAGCAGCAGAAAAAGCAGAACAGGACTGTTGCTCTTGGCAGCAGCTCCAGCTAACACTTGAAGTGTTCACAGAACTACAGCCTGTAATTCACACTACTGTGAATATCTGCATCTTCCAATACTGGATCTTACTCTGCTGGCATTTACTTAAAAAAAAAAAAAAAAAAAAAGAATGTTAAGAACTTATTGTTCTGTATTATTGGAAATTATTACCACGTAGTAATCTGTGAAAAGTCTGTACGCTTCAACTACACCAAAAAGTAATAGATACTAAAATACTACCAAGTGCCACTAGAAAATACTCCTTTTTTTAATCCACCATTACTAACAATTCTCTAGAAGATAAAGAGTTTGGTAAGAAAGCTCACAACTGAGACAATATTCCAATGATCTGCTATGAGGATCTCTACTTAGCAGCAGCATCAAGAATTCTCACATTACACCACAAGACTGTAATAGCTTAGCATGACACTTCCATGCTGCATCAAATATTAATTAACTAAATATTAGCTTGTCTGAAGACTGGGTACTTGTATCTCTTTTCTAATGACTAAATCATCACATTTTAGCACTATTTCTAAAAACATGACTTTTTTAAGGCTGAAATTCAATATTTTAGGTATCTCATCAATCCAGGAAAGCAAAAATATAGTGGAGCAACCCAGACACAGCTTCAAATCACAACAGCTCTCTTACCAAATGAAACAGGAATTTTTTATTTATTCATTATAGACTTCATCAAAGGTAGACTCTGTAACACTGTAGCACATTTTCAAGCAGTTTTGCAAAGGCCTCCTACAATACAGACACCTAGTTCAGCAGATTGCCTTTTAGAGACTGAGAGGGCACTTATCTTTTTAGTCTCCAACCAGTAGAGAAAGATGGGGAAGCCAAACTACAAACATGTCCTCTACCACCTCCGAATTCTTAGGAGGCTTTTCCCTATATATAGACAGATCCACAAAACATGAAAAACACCCCTATGGCAAGAAACACTCAAAACCTGTATTTTACATACAGAGAAACTATCTGGCTATGGAATCTATCAAACAAATGTGAATAAAGCAAATGAAATAAACCTCAGAAAAAACAATGCAATTCGGCATCAGTAATGAAGAACACAGGAGAAACCCCTGGTAGAATGCAAGCAGCATGGACACTGCCCTGACACCACCTCTCACACAAGGCAGCCAAAAAACACTAAATAAGATGCAGCACTTCTAAGATAATCCTGCATTCTAGCACTCACCTTGGTAAAAGAAAGCACATCTCATACCACAGTAACTCGCCAATATGTAAAGACAACCCAGTTGTTAAACAAACAATCCTAACTTTACTAAAACATAGCTCAGTTAACACTTGAAATCCTTAAGGTTTCATGTTAAAAATGCAAAGCTGTAATTACAGATGGGAACATGAGAACCTGAATTCTGCACTTTTTAAGATCACAGAGAAAAGCACACTATGTTGAAGGCAGACTCAACAGTAATTAGGATGACAAAATCTAAACTTAAAAATACATATTCTTATCTCAAATACTTTGAAGTTTTTTACTTGCATTTTAATGAAACACACATTTTCAGCCTTCAGCTGCAAGTGACAGACACAGAGGTGCTATGTTCTGCCTCTCAATTAACCTTTGCTATTTTTTCCCCTTACCTCTTTGTTTTGTAGGCTGATGTTCCTCCTCCTCAGTGGGTTCTGAAGGGTCATAATAATCACTGCCATAATGGAATCCCACTGCATTATAGGTACCATCCTCTGCCAAAGCTTCACTCAGTCTTTTATATTCCTCCTCTTGAATAAAAATGCAATTACCAATCATTAGAACATATTTAAAAGCTAATTCCTTAAAAAAAAAAAAAAAAAAAAAAAAAAAAAGAAATAGGGAATTTTCTTACTTTAGTTTTTAAATGGGAAGTTTTCACCTAATCATTTTACCTTTTATGCTAAAAACTGAATAGAAAAACACAGCATGTACATATGCTGACCATTTATTTCTTCCTGAAGAGATAAAGGCTGCAGGTTAAAACATTCTAATGTAATTATGCACAAAAGAGCACAGAATTTCATTTATACAACACTAAAAATGAAGCCGAATGTGCTTATTTTGGGTTTTGGGGGTCTGAAATCCCAGTCTGCCCTCAGCATCTGGGCAAATTCTGTGTGGATCTATATTTAAACTATCCTGAGGTCCTCTCACATACGCAAAGACTCCCGTTTTTCGAATCCACTGGGTACTGTCAAGATAACATCAGAAAAAAGAGAGTATAAAAATTAGGAGTAAATTTAATTTCATAAATATTTATTTAAATATGTGCTAAACTCAGGAAGTTTCCTTGAGCAATACCTTGCCTCGCCTCCTCCTCAAGCAAGTCCGTATGCAAGGCTAAATACCTCTCTTCATCACAGAGGGCTTCTATTCTAGCTTCCTCCTCAGACAATTGATAATCTCTGTTCCATGTGGAATATTCAGCATCATATTCAGAAAGGTCATGCAGGTGACCACGTCCATCGTACCTGCAGGATGAAACAGCTGGTCAATGCAGAGAACTTAGGGCTTGGGTTTATGCGACTACTTAAATACTTACCCATTAAAAATGAAACAAAAAACATACTTATACGTTAAAGCATATTTCCTTTTAGAAGTTACGTTTAATTTTGCTAATCATTTGTCACCAACTATTGAAAATTTAATAGTCTAAATTCCTCTCAAAGAAACTAGTAAATTATTACAATTAAAGGCAAAGCTATCCTTTAATAGTTTTAAGTGGGATCCATCTCCTTAACAGCTCTTACCGTACGTGCTTCAACCAACCAATCAATGTCACTTGCAAAATACGTTTTTCTGGGGAGTCAAATAGCTTACATTCACACAAACCCGAGTACATAAATACCTATCCGTAAGAACCAAACGGTCGAAATTTCCTCGCTTCTTTCTGCTAGTCCCGAACTCTCAGGAGATATCTTCACCATAGAAACTTGCGTCCATTGGAGGTAAAATCATGGCTAGGCTCGGCCCCTAGCCATTTGGCTGAGGAAATAAGTTCTGGGTTATGTGATAGAGAGACACACATACATAGGAACAGTAACATATACATGCAATTTAAGGAGGTTCACCGTAAAAACGGCAAAGATCAATGATGTACAGTTCCTTTCTACTAAGCAGAAATCATTTTATTTGCAGGAAAAGCACTGCATTGGGATAATGTTTTAAGAGAAACCGATTGGAAAGTAAAGTGACAGTAAACTCGACTCCGCTGAGGTGTCTTCCCACACACAACTCTTGACTTGTGCCAACTTGCTAGACCAAAAACAAAGAAAGTAAGTATTCTTATAGCAAGGAGTTAATGAAACACGTAGGTCTGGTTAATCAAGCTCTGTCCACAGGCAAACTTCAACCCATGTCTTCTCATAGCATGTGCTTTTCTCAAAAGGTGAAAATGAAGACTTCCTGCTGCTGGAGATAAAAGGACTCTAAGCTTCCAAAGGAGTTCATAAGATTAGTAATTGCAAGCTACCTTAACTTACAAACGTGTGTTATTTAGATTTTTCAGTAGTATATGCACATACTTAGCTTTTGCTCCCAACAATTTCTGTAACACCTATAAACTGGGTTACTGTTGCACAGGACCACAAAAATGGCCTCTACCTACTAATGAAATTGGTCACAAAAGTGATTTGGATTAGAAGTGTGCATCTTAACACTTCCACTCTCATGTATGTAAGAAATTAAGCACAGCTAAAAACGTTTATTCGTTTGTTCATATCTACACATGTATTCCAACTTAACGAATTACTTTCAATCATAAACATCATTAATGGCATAAACAGCAAAATCATGTAAAGGCATTTATCTTTTTTTCCAGTCTTACATAAGGAAAGGACCTTCTCTTACTGGTATTTTTCTAAGCCAAATATAATTGTTACATCAAAACAGCAAGAATCAGGTATAGCACCAGAGCACAGATGAAATTGAGGGAGCAAATATCTATAGTATGCCATGTGATCCTTTTCAAACCAAAATCCTTCCATCTTTCCCGCTGAGGTTTGCAGGGTCAGCCACAACTCCTAACTTGTACTTTCAGTGTTCCACTCAAATACACCCAACCTGTCCTCCCCTTTTTCTCTCTCTCCAGGAAAACATCCAGAAAATTCATTCGGAATTAATTTATTTCTGAGTTCACCCTGCACTGCTGAAACAACTTAAAGAGACCAGAAGAAACATAAAAGTAGATTCTATCTGGCCATGAACCTGTACCTACTGCAAAGCAAGCAAAATAAATCACCCCTGACAATAAATTTGAAAAATCAAAGGTGTTCTGCCCAAGTGAATCATGGCACAAGGAAAAAGTTATTAGGCCAAGAATTGCTTCTAGGGAATCCCACCAACAGCCTCCAACCAGATAACATTGGAGAAATAAGACAACACCATTTCCCCAAAGATGGGTAAATACTTATCCACTCCCCATACTGCACTGTTCTTGCTCAGAGAACATTTAAAGTGCCTAGAAAGTATTCCCATGCACTAAAGGCTCCCTTGGCTTCCAAGTAAGACGAGATGATGTGGCTTGCATTGAAAAGGAACAGACCATTCCTCCTCTCCACTCTGCCCTGTAAACCCTACCCTAACCAGTGCAGCAGAAAGGCCCAACACACACCAACGATGAGGAGGGGATCTTCCCAACACTACCACAGCAGGAACCCCGAGTTCCCACTGCCGGGGGACAGCCCTGCATCGTTACAGAAGCAGTAGTCGAAGCACTCTACCAGGAGGAGCTGTCCTCCACCTCTGCCAGTGAAGCTCTCCACATGTCTGCCAGAGCGAGCCCTTTGTTCATCCCCCGCCCTCACTTGCCCAACAGCACAAGGGGAAGAATAGAAAGAGGCTATAACAGGAGATCTCGCAGCAGAGTCTGGGGGTTGTGTTACACCGACCTATCGATCATGATCTTGGGGTCTCCCATCCAAGGAATAAGGTGTCGCCCCTGCTCCTGGTACTGAGCCTTCTCATCATCTCGAAACAGCTTGCAGGCATAGCCGAACACCAGCAGCTCCACACGGCTATTCCCACCTCCACCTCCTCCTCCACCTCCTCCGGGGGGCCCAGGCACCGCTCCCCCGCCTGACAACAACATTAGGGGCGGCGGCCCTGCTTCTTCTGCAGTCCGTCGAGAACCTCCGCCCCCTCCGTACATCACCGGGGGACGCGGCGAGGAGAAGGAATCCCGCAGTAAGAGCGACTGTCCGAGAGGCGAGACCCCGCGGCGCCGGGCCCGCGCTAAACCCCCCGGCTCCTCAGCACCACAGCC